AGAATTGAAATATAAAAGAAGAAATGAAATATAAAAGAAGAGATCTACAAATGAATTAACTAATTAATTTACACAGTATTACTAAATATGATTTTATATTTGAAATATTAATATTACTGTAGGATATTTGTGATTAAAATTGTAAATTTCAGATTTAGGGTAATAAAATTATATAGAAATAAGAAAAAGAGAATAAATATGATATTCAGGATATAGATATAAGATTTAGGGTAATAAAATAAAAGTGAGATAATTATACGATTGAATAAAAATAATAATAATCAGGTGATAAATGGTAAAAATTAAGAAAAAGGAAATTTCGTATAATCAAAGGAAGATTATCGAATTAGAGAAATTTATATTACTACGGTAACAATATACTTATATTTAAAGAATAATTTGTTATCAATAATTAAGTATATCTTTTGAAATTTTTTGTAATATAAATAATTAAAATAGATTAATTTGCTAAAAAAAAGCTAATTATAATTTTTATATTCCAGAAAATTAACAAATAATTATTAAAAAAGCAAAAATAAAACTAATTAAAAAATAATAAATAATATTTTTTTCAAGAAAAATTAATTATTCAAACTAATACAGAAAAAAAATCTAATTATAAAAATTAAGAACTATCTTTCAAAGAAAATAAAAAGAATTATCAAAAATTAATAATAAAAAAATAAATAATTTATACAAATCTAAATAATATTCTTAATAAATTAAATACTTTTATAAATACTTTTAATATTAAACTAAAAATAAAAAAATATATATTATTATAAGTTTGTTTATTAATCATTAAATTAATCTATAAACTTGAACCTGAATTAAAATAAGTTTTAAATTAATAAATAAATATTAAAAAAGAAATATCTAAGTTCTATATCAATTTATATAAAAATTATATTTATTTAAAAATAAGATAATAATATAAAAGAATTATAGTTAAAAAAAAGAAAGAAAATATAATAACTTAAAGAAAAATAATAGAGAAGATTTATATTTAAGAAATATAATTAGTAGTAACTAATAATAAAGACTTTTTCACTTGGTTTTTTCACAAATGAGGAATATTTAATAAAAAATAATCAAAATTCAAATAAAAAAATTCAAATACTTAAATTCAAAAATTCAATATAGTAATTTGTTTAGTATAATAGAATATAAAGCTAATAATTCAATATTATAATTTGTTTAATAAAATATAATATAAAGTTAATAATTCAATAACTATAATTTGTTAAAAATAATATGATCTAAAATTCAAAGTTAATAATAGTAATTTGTTCAGTATAATATAATATAAAATTATTAACATTTTGTTAAATACAATATAATTTAAAGCTATTTGTATATAAGCTTTAATATGTATAATAGAAAGTAAAAAAAACAAATATTATTTAGAAAAAGATTTTGGTTAAGAGAGAATTTTATTTTTTATTTATAATATATCAAATTAAAATTCAGATAGCATGTCTATTTGTATATTTTTCAAAATTAAAATAATAAATAATAAAATAAATAGTTAGAAATAATAAAAATGATAAGATAAATGATATAATAATACAAATTTATTATTTATATATTATAAAAAGCAATTAATCTTTGCAAAAAAATATAAAATTGAATAATTAATAATTAATTACAAGTAATATGATCAGATAAATTAAAAATTTAAATATTTGAATCTAATAAATATTAAATTTACTAAAAAAATAAATTATTAATATTTAATTATAATTAAGTTTAGTAATAATAGTATAAAATTGCTTTAGTATAATAATATTAAATATTTTTATAAAATTAATAGAATAATAAATGATAAATATTAGTAACAAATTTTTTTAATAAACTTATATTATTTTTAAATTTATATAATTTAAAATAAAATAAATTTATTTTTTAATATAATAATAATTTAAAATATATTATAAATAAATAATAATTTGATTTAAAAATAATAATATAACTATTTTAAATTGGCTATCACAATTATCAAATCTAAATTTTATTAAAACTTATAATATAATATGAATATTTGTTTTTATACTCATTCAGGTATAATTTCTAATAAAAATAATCTTTAAAAAAAATTAACAAAAAACTTGAAATTAATTATTATATTAATTTAATTAATATAATTCCATAAAGAATTAATAATATGATTAAAATAAAGAGAAATTATACAAGATGGTAAAAAATATATTTTGTAATCGTTTTTTATTTTGATATATATTTCTAATAAAATATATTGAACAAGTAAATTTTTATCCAAAAAATGACAAAAAATATATTAGCATTTTGAAAATTAATAAATATTACAAATAATTAACAATAATAATATCTGTTTATTTTTTATTTACTTATATAATTATATTAGTGATTATTTATTTTATTATTTGTATACTTATTAATTTTTTATAGCTGAAAATTGTATAATTAAAGATTGATAATGCAAGTAATATATTATTTATAAAGATTATTATATATACTATTTGATTTGTCTAGTCAAAATAATATTATTTTTGTTCAAATTAGATTACTGAAAATTGAGATAACCTGTTACAAAATTGGCTGATTAATTTTTATAGACTCCAAAAAAATGAATCTGCTACTTTAAGATATAATATTTTAATGATCAGTAATTTGATTTGAACAAAAATACTATTATTTGATTTATCTCAACTAGAGGTATTAAATAGTTATATGTTTGTTAAAATTAAATTATTAAATATCAAGAATTAGATTATTGAATATTGAGATATGTATTATGCAATATTGTCCTTTAAAAAATATGAATTATTGGATTTCTTGTTCATATTAAATATGATCATATATTTAAATTGTTCATATTTTTATATGGACATAATTTTCAATTATTAATATATAATTCAATTATAAATCTATTTATTGCATATCAATTGAATAAATTATAAGAAAATATTAAAATCATATATAAATATATATAGTAATAATAATAATATATATATATATCAGAGAATCTAAAAAATGAAATGACTTGATATTTCACTTTGCATTAGGATTATCTGCTGGATGAATATAATTCTGAACAAAATCATTTGATAAAAAGTCTACATTAACGTGTGTTTTATTATAAAATTTGGAAATGTTATATGAATTTATTTTTGAACAAACAAACAGTCAAAAAAATGCATTACTAAAATATTAGATTTTTGTAAATTATCTGTGTATTTATTTCCAAAAGTAGTAATTAGAAGAATTTCTTTATTATTTTTTATTTACATGATGTAAAATATATGATGGCCACTGTATATGAACATATGATCCTATATAGACATATTTATAATCTTTTGTATATAGGAATTTGCCAACGGGTCCATTATGCAACTGCGCCTTATTGAACATAAGAAATTGTCAACACTGGTGTTATTAAATAACTGATTATACATGTATGTACGTATATGTATTTAGGATGTGAACATACAACACCCAATATAGAAGCTTTACCAATCTATAAAAGGTACATGTATCAACGATCAGCATTTGTAATGTTCTTTGTGCTCGGAAAATTTTGGTACATTACACATGATCTAGGGGGGTACGTTACTTCTGATGAGCACTGTACGAGCAAGACATGTAGCAATTGTGGGTAGATACATCAGGGGGACGAAAGATATTCGTGATTTTTCTATCGCGAAATTCAATTTTGAAAATTCGAGTCGATTCACTCAGATCAAATCGTTGTGGGTTTCGTAGAGATGTCAAGTAATTCGGAACAGCTTTACAATTTTGAAACTTGCTAATTACAGATGAATCAACTTATTTGAAAAATTGCTCCAAACAAGTTTAATTAGTAATATATAAAGAAAAATGCTGTCCCAAATGAGCAATTGCTTCAAACTACTTTGGAGCCGAACATTGGTTTTCGATCATCAAAAAATATTGATTTCTAAATATAGACAAGTCAAATACATAATCATAATTACGACTTTAAACATGTTTAGTAGTATTGTACATGTACATGTACATGTATAAAGTAATAAAACAAGCAAATCATCTTGAACTAATTTAGACAAACGTATTCTTTCAAACAATGTACATATATGGGATATGAATCACTTGGCGAAGAGAATTGATTTGTTCCACTCGAGAAAATGGACGACAGTTTCATGTAGTTTTCGATAATGTATTTGATAAATATATTTATAATACTGCAATTGATAACTTGTTTATTGTTAATACATGTAACTCGAAACTTGTTAGTCCAATACGTCAACAAATTATGTAAACTTCACGATAAGGTGTTATCGTGTGTTTGAATTTTATTTGCTGGTTGAACAAGCTATTGTTAAACCATGGTTTGGATATACGTACGCCGCTTGCTAAATAAATCATAGGCATGGAGGTGTTTATTATTGAAACTGGCATTCTTTAATTATTTGAATATTGTAGTTTTTGCCGTATGCTTCGCTTTTGCTTTTCTACCTCAAAGAAATCAGCATGAAATCAAAATGTATCCATTTGGTCAGCGTGGCAATTATGTTCCAAAGTTACTTAACATATCGTGGAAACACCGTATTGGATAGCACCGTTGTTAAGTACTAGTGTAAACAATATGTCGGAAAAGATGAGTTGCAGAGGGTAAATTTTTACAAAGCCTAAGTATGTTTTTGTTTTAATCGGTTCGGTTTAATTCTTTAAATTCTGAAAGGGATTGTAACGCTAGTTCAAATGATAGTCGGCAAGAAAAATGCTTAATATTGATATTATATGACGATAGTTTAATCAACAAAAGAAAGCTATTATTAATAAGAGTGATGATAAAATTAATTCTTAACCATGATATCTGATACGCCCCGATTTATCGTAATCCCTAAGAAGTTTAGTAATTTCTGGACTCAACCTGACTTTATCAATTAACGAGATCTGAATTGGTGACGAGTTGCTTTGTTGTCGTTCACAAAACATTTGCCAGACTTCAGGAGTGTATTTCCATCGTCCGTTAATAGAAAAACGTTTTAACGCTGCCGAAGCATTATCGGCAATTGCAGTAACAAGTTGGTCTCCATCTTGCGCGATGCAAAATTTCGAAATCAACACGATTGACCGTACGTGACGGCATTTCGACAATAAGAAAGCTAACTCGGAAGTGTCTTTGAATTTTATTGGAATCATTAGGTCAACTATGCGTGGACAGTGATCTCCGATGGCTTTGATCAGCGTATGGGTATTTTCAGGGTCATATGTGCCCCAACGTAGTTTTAGGACTTCCATTCGTCCCGTAGTTGTCTGAATGATTCGAGTTAATTTTTCAAGATCCAATTTATTTTGTAGTTCTATATCAAGCTTCTGAAGAAATGGGAATTGCGCATTTACTAAAATTGTAAACGTGTCTTTAGGAATGATGCCAAACAAAATGAGAACTTTGAGGTTTCGACATTGAGCCAGCGTATCCGGAGATATACTCAAAGTCCCAGAGCATTTAATGTAGGTCATCGTTTGCGTGTGTGCTTTCAACGCTTCATCAAATTTAGAGTTTAATTTATCACCGGTGAGCGTTAGCTCTTTTATGCCACGTTGAGTTCGTACAAGTTGAATTAATCCTTCACTTTCGTCATTTACAGAAATATCAAATGCTTCGATATTTGTGGTTGATTGTGCAAGTGAATAAAATGTAGAATCTGGAATTTCGTGTGGATAAGCAGATACTAAAGACCTAATTTGCTTCATAAATTTTTGTGCATGTGGTAGCAAGTGGATTGGAATTTGTGCGCCATCGTCATATACAGTAGATGTATGAGACAAGACGAATTTAGAAAGCCGTTTCCCTCGTCGTATTAACAATTTTAAAATCTCTTGCAATAAAATAAATTTTTTTCGGTTGTGTTCATCGATTGCTTGTGTTGCTGTTGATGGTATTGATTTATCGATCCATTCTCGTGTTGCCCAGCTCAAACGTTGTGGTTCCAATTTTTGGATAAAAGCTGGGTAATCGAATAATGCTTGAATTTCAAAATTATTACTTGGTAATTTGATTCCATTTTCGTCAAGAAATTCTTTGGAGTCGAATGGTAAACATGTGGTTAAAGTTCTGATGAGTTTGAAACTTCTTTCCTCCTGAAAAACTACGCCATCTCCAACTTCTTGCTCAAATGGATTCTGCCATATTAATGGTATGACGCATTCACACCACGACCAATTTACAAACAAATAATTGAACAGGGGAACTTTATTGGCACGGCATTCGACCAATATCTGGTTTAAACAATCTTTTGGTAGTCTCGTCGTCGCCATTTTCAGTGTGCACGCGCGTTTAGATTCGGGAGAAAGATAGAAAAGAAGACAATGAATGTAGCAAAACTGAAAATCTAACGCGAATTAATTCTGATCACTGTTCACGCCGTCAGTCTTTAAATACTTCAATGATGATCTGGTTTTTAACCGGATTCATTTCTTGAAAATTTCTATATCGATATACGTACATTTCTGCTATTTAAAACAATGATCTTCGTGAATTAATATTAAAGAAACAACAAAAATCGATTATTCGTAGAAATACTTATGGAATTTTATATTGTATACGTATCTTATGTATGAATGCAAAGCTCAAACAAACATTACGGCAGCAGAAGAAAATCCTTTGTTTTCTCAATGGTTTTGTAAATGTATTTCTATTGACGCGTTATAAAAAGTAATTTCTATTCATAATCACAAGAGCCAAGTACTCTAATTTAGTCAATAATCAAAGAAAAAAATGCAGAAGCAGTTTCTCATAATAATTACCATTTTTTCATTGCTGACTAAACAACAGCCCATCCAGTTTCCAACAATGGCTAATATGAATTAAAACAATTGGGTAAATACGTAAGTCTGATGATGCTATGCAGAGTAGACCCCCGTTAAACCCTGCTTGCATAAACTGAATTTGGCTCCATATAGTGAACACGCCTTGAGAGTTGAACAGTTCTGGTGAACCTGTCTCGGTAAATCAAAACTGCCAAGTAAACTGAGTTTTTTGGCCACTTCGATTTAACGAGATTGACTGCGTATATTATAGAATTGCTCATTGCATTTCATAAAACTCTAATTCCATTTTTTAGTTTATCATCTATGCGTATTACGTACATGTATTTATCATTCTATATAATTAAATATATTGATTTTGATTTTAATTTTAATTATAATACTGTATCGTTCATGTATAATCAACGAGGTATTGGTTCAAGGTTGCACATGTGTATTTTATTTCATCTCAGCATGAGACAATAAACAGACCTAATAGAGAAATTTCTGTAGTGGTTTTTGTGAGATGTACCACGCTCGAAATTTCGACGTCAAATACATGTACGTACAATGATCATACACCATATAATACTGGTTTCATTATCCAGGTATATGGCAATAATAGGGGTAAAAGGTTGTCTCATATGAGTACATGAACAATCGAATAAATTTATAATATAAATAATTATGTTATTAAACTACGTAGTCATATGCCCCGGGTATTAAACAATTTTTCAAATATCATTTGAGTCCTGCACCGGGGGGGGGGGGAGGAGACTCGAGACAGTGCTACATTTCTGCAAATAAATGAAAAAATACATGTACATATAATACGTCTATAAAAATCGTTATATACAATAATTCCAGTTAGAAAATTTATATCATATGTTCAAATACATGTACACAGTGCTCGCTAAGCCGGATTTTTTCTTTGAGAAAGAACTTCCAATTATGAAATTCTTCATAATACAATGAACCGGATTTCTTAGAAAAATACAATACAATAAACCGGATTTATTGGAAAAATATAATACAATGAACCGGATTTACTGGAAAAATCTTAATAAGCCTTAGACTGTTGTCTTAATAAATCAGATATATTTTTTTCTTTTATTGTCTCCGGTTTTACGAGATTCATTGTGTAAGTCATACAAATAAACTTGGTAGAACTTCGATGACTTGCAATTTATAATACGAGTAAAATTTTTAACCGGTTAATTCTTGTTAGTGGTTCAAACTTTTCAAAATGACTAGAAAAAAAATTCTAAGCTCGTGCACGAAATCAACAACATTAGACGCAAAAAAGCTCTTGGAAGTTATTTTTGAATTAGGGTGAAGTGAATTAAAACTTGATAAGTTCCCAGCTAAACATCTATTGCGAAAATCATTTTTAATCAGTCTTTATTATAGTAGATTTTTAAGAAATTATTTAAGAAATCGATGGAACAATACACCAAAACACATAAACGCCAGAAATTTGTGTTTGAGAATACTTTTTCGCGCTCAAAAATGAACGGGTTTTCTCAATTAAATGCTTCTTAACGTTAACATGTATCCAATCGATTGCTAATTGTGGTACGTAATCACAAAGAAGACTGTTAGCGTTAGTGTGCAACATCAAAATTGTAAGTTCTATATATAGCTTCTTAATTAGGAAGTAAATGTAAATTTTGAGATTAGAATTTTGGATTAACGTTAAGAAATTATAGAACACACATGATACACAACATTATCGTTATTTGCGCAATTTGCATAGCATTTTGTGTACAGTTCGTACTCAAAATTTTTTCAACGCTATACCGATACGATACAATCCGCAGCATCCTTCTAAATCACACCAGTGGTGTGTTTCATTTTGCTATCTTATAGTACATGTAATAAAATAAATGCATCAGCATCTACGAATATTTGTCATCGTTTAATGCGTACGTAATGTGTTCTGTGTCATTTTTCATGCATAAATCAATTTACAAACACAAACGTGAATAAAATATTTTTTTAAAGAGAACACTGTTATAATCACTAGCGCCAATAAAAAAACTCAAAGATGGCATCTAGTACTCATAATTGTAGTATATGCTGGCTTTTGTTGCAAAAATGAGTACCGCAAAGGATGTTTTGTATATCACAAACAAATTTATGAATGGTCTAGCGGAAATAAAGATATCGACAGTCTAATAAATGAATGCAACAGAATTGCTGACTATAGATCTTTCGAATGGATCCCTTTTAAAAGATTTACCAATGTCGAATATTTTACAAAGGAGGTTTTGGTTGGGCGGTACATCGGATAACCAAGGATATCATAAATACAACTCTATGCTTTCTTCTCCATCGTTTAAATTTATTTGCTTTAAGTCATTACACAATTCAAAGCAAATTACATCCGAATTTATAAACGAGATAAAATAAACACCTTTTAAAGTGTAAGCATATTACTTTTTTGTTTTTGAATTTTTCCAATTTAGATTCAGGTTGCTGCTCTAACGTTCAGTAAATCTTGGTTATTATGAAATAACTAAAAATCCAGCTACAAATGATAGCGATGGATTATGCAAAAAATGGAAATCTCCGCAAATATATTACTAAATACGAATAATTGAACTGGAAAGCGAAATTAGGACATTACTAGAGCGTTGGATAAAATTCACAGTGAGTAATTTGTGCATCGCGGCTTTCACCCTGGAAATATAACATTTTGCAGGATTTTGCTCATTTTAGATTTAGCAAACCAACAGATAGAAAAATCAGATCAAAAAATTTGCAGAGTTCTTTCTTATATGATCCCAGAGATACTAAATCGAAATCCATACACTAAGCTGCAGATATTTATAGTTATGGGATGATTATGTACAAGATTATAACTGGTGAACGACCATTCGGTGAGCGAAGCCATGATAGAGATCTCGTATTAGATATCTATAACGGAGTACGACCTACGATACCAACTGATGTTCTTGGGTGGTGCAAATTTACTATTGAAAAGTGTTTGAATCCTATTCCAAAAATAGACCAACCGCTGAGGAACTTCTGCGATTTATCGACGATATCTACAGGAATGAATATTTCTATGACTGGTGGAAACAGAATACTTTGCATTTGCCATACTACAACTCTTTAGAAGATCCTAAAATACCTAAATTATGTGGTGGGCGAGTGTATTAGACTAGAAAAGAAGAAATGGCGCGAACTTGATGAGAAGATAAAAAACGTTCCTACGAAGAACAAAAAACAACAAAGCCATCCAAATACGGTTTACACCAGTCGAATCTTTACTAAAGAACAAATTTCAGTTCCAAATGACACAGGTATATTTATTTCTAAATATAAATTGTATTAACTTTTCATATTACGTGTGATCAAAATCACATCGAATATTTAGGCTCTACAAGTGTCTGTTTGTGTACTCCAAACAATTTCGATTCAGTATTAGTATACCACATGAACGAAGAGATGTCGAGTAACTTGTGAGAAAACTACACATTCAAGATGAAACACTAAACAAAATAAGTCTTTTTTATAAGAAAATGGTAACCACTAGTAAATTCAATTTCTAATATAGTAGATGAACTTGCAAGTTCAGTTTCAAGGTTATAATCATATTATAAATTCTTCAATTTTTTCAATAAAATTTGAAATAAATGGCAATAATTTTTTACGTAATTATTATTCTAGTGTTAATAAACTGTGAAGATGTTTTATAACTTTAATGTTGCAAGTAGGTATATTTTAACATAAGCAAGACTACTGACATTAAATCACATGCATGGTATCACGTGATTAAATACCAGAGATATATTATTTATGCATCTCTGGCCAGAGATGCTTATGGTGCATAAACTCTAAAGTCATCAAACGTTTGTATTTTACAAAATGTATAAACTTCTTTACTAAGAAGTAAATACAAAATTTAATCCGTGAATATGATAGAATAGGCTTTTTCTGAGCATATTCACGGATTAAATTTTGTATTTACTTCTTAGTAAAGAAGTTTATACATTTTGTAAAATACAAACGTTTGATGACTTTAGAGTTTATGCACCATAGCAACACCCTTTAATAATCCGATTTGAGCTAAAATATATCATTTGGTTTGTCTAGTTGAGGTGAATTGATTTTGACTCGAATCGGATTACTAGATATTGAGATACTGCATCTTAAAGTGACCGATTTATTTTTGATATGGTGCATAAAATCTAAAGTCATCAAACGTTTATATTTTATAAAATGTACAAACTTCTTTACTAAGAAGTAAATACAAAATTTAATCCGTGAATATGCTCAGAAAAGGCCTATTCTATCATGTTCATAGATTAAATTTTGTATTTACTTCTTAGTAAAGAAGTTTAAGCATTTTATAAATACAAATTTTTGACCTTAAAAAATTTGAAGATACAATATCTCAGCATTTAATGATTCGATTTGAACAAAAATGCTATTATTTGATTCGTCTCAACCAGACAAATCGAATGATAGTATTTTTGTTCAAATCGAAACACTGGATGTCAAGAATTGGATTGCTAAATATTGTAGCGGTAGATATATATCATGTAACACAGGAGTTTTGACAAACGTATAACATCTGATATAGAAGTTTACCAGCCTATAAAAGGCATAAATTATCAATATTTATATAGTTCTTTAGGGGCGGTCGGATACTTATGACAGTACTGTACATGTATAATTTTGGACCGGGCGTCACTTTTAGGGGTACTGTACATTAAATGCATTTGATCACTAAAAATTTGTGACACTATTATTGTTTATTACTTGCACCCAATACAAAAAACACCAAGAATATACTGATACTAAATAAAAATGACACTCGACTTGTTGTTGACTTCACACTTGAACAGACTCGATAAATTTTATAAAAATTACAACTTTTGTGACATTTCGCTTATTGTTGGTGAAAGTCAGAATACTCAACGTACTTTTTCAGCCCACTCAGCAATCTTGGTGGCACAGTCACAGTATTTTGCGGTAGCACTTTCTGATGTTTGGGTGAAACGAGAACCGAACAAGATGATTGTCTTTAAGAAACCGAACATCGAACCTCGAATTTTTGAAATATTGCTAAGGTAATTCATGAAAAACGAAGCGATAGTATTAAATGAAATTTAACTAATTTAAAATTTAACAGATATATTTACAGTGGAAAAATCGATTTGCAAAACTATGGTGTTTCGACACTTTTAGATTTATTAATCGCAGCCGATGAGTTAATTCTCGAGGATCTGATTGAATATATCCAAATTTATCTTCTCGAACACCATTCTGAATCTTTAATAGAGAGTTTTGTCTTAATAAATCAAATTGCATTCGAGCATAACTCTTTTACCAAGCTTCACAAATTTTGCACAGATATCACATGTCAGAATCCAGCTGCTATTTTTCAATCAGCTGATTTTACCAAGCTACATAAATCAGCTCTCGTCTGTTTACTCGAACGTGACGATCTAAATTTAAATGAAATCTACCTTTGGGAAAAAGTGCTTGAATGGGGGATCTTTCAAACTTCATATGATGGTGATATTGATCTAACGATTCCAACGGAAAATTGGACACATAACGAATTTAAGCAACTCAAATCTACGCTCAAAAATTGTTTATCATTGATTCGTTTCTTCCACATCAATTCGGTAGATTTTTATAATAAAGTTATGCCCTATGCTGAAATTTTACCGGGAACGCTATATAAAGATTTATTGCATCATTATTTGGTGCCGGGAAGTGAAGAACATAAGGCCACTTTGCACCCAGTTCGCAAATTCAACACTATTGACTCTTCGATTCTTTCGCAGAATCAGATTTCTAAAATAATTTACTGGATTAAAGAACAAGATGATAGTCAGAAAAACAAATCAATTGAATGGAAGCTGTTACTGCGTGGTAGTCGTGATGGATTTGACCATATTGACTTTCATCGTCTGTGTGATAATAAAGGTCCAACAGTTGTCGCCATACGTGTAAAAGATCAGAAAAAGATCATTGGTGGTTATAATCCATTTGAATGGAATTCTCTTAATAGAGACTATTCCTCTTTAAATAGCTTTTTATATCAATTCAATTCTGATGACATTCAAGCCATCAATGGAGTTCTAAGCAAATATAATAAACAAGGGCGGAGTGTGGGGTGCTATGGACTTTGTGGACCACTTTTTGGAAATGATTTAGCACTTAATTGTTTCAATATTTCTTTTACTCGTAATAATTTCTGTGAAAAATCTTCTTACGACTATGGTCTGTTGAGCTCTGATGGATATAAAAAGCGGTTTAATGTTGCAGATTATGAAGTGTATCAAGTGGTGCAGAAATAAGTTGAATATCTTAACCACACATTTAACTTTGCTACTAATAATTATATACTGTAATTCAGAAGATGCTTAAACATGTAATTAGTATTTCGGCGAAACTAGTTTCGCTCAATTTGATCTACAAAATGTTTCCAAATTAGGTTTTCGGATACATGTGTAGGTCGAAACGTTTCGGATTTTGAAAAATAGTTTCGCCTAAAACTTTGTAACTTGCTCTTTAAAAGTATTTGTTCATCACTTGTATTTCTGAATTATTATCAATGAAAAATACGCCTGTAAATTTCGATGTGTGAATAAATGAAAATATAGGACAAACAGGCTTTTACGTAAATACAATACATGCAAATGTGACCGTTACATGTTTTTCCATACTTTGTATAGACATACTACGTGCAAATTTCTTATAAGGGAGCTAGATTTTGCTGTGATTATATTTATTTTAGTATTTTTCTTTTGGTTGAATACTCTTCATCAATCGCTTGAATATTTATTTATAATTATTATCTATCATATATTGTTCGGTTTCAACACATAAAAATAAAAGTATTTCTGAGTTGGATTAGAATAACTACAGTTAGGGCGCGATCTAACGACTATGTGAATTTACGATATTGGCCATTATTGATTAAATGCATAAAGCTTTACAATTATGTGATATACCATACCGATATTAATTAACATTCTCGCAATTTAATATTTATGGTGCATAAAATCTAAAGTCATCAGACATTTGTATTTTATAAAATGGATAAACTTCTTACTAAGAAGTAAATACAAAATTTAATCTGTGAATATGATAGGAGTTTTCTAAGCATATTCACGGATTAAATTTTGTATTACTTCTTAGTAAAGAAGTTTATACATTTTATAAAATACAAACGTTTGATGCCTTTAGACTTTATGCACCATAGCGATGGCGATAGGTCAGGAAATTTGATTAACGTAAATAAAATCACGTGAAATCGGTTTCGATATTTAATAACTACATCAACTATTAAAGTGTTTAAAGCACAGTGTACTAGTTTCTAATTACGAAATATCCAAATTAATTTAGCTTTGTAAAAAAGTATTATGTCTTATTATCAATATAATAACGAAAAACTTGACTCTTAACGAATTGATTATTAAATGTGTTCTTTGACATTTAGTAGAAGTTGGAATTTCCCAATCCTTTCTTAATTCGATTCATTTTTACGAAAGAAAGAACACAGTACGAAGTAAAACGTGCATTAAAAAAGACAATGTAATGCATAGTCATTTACTTCTGATAATTTAATCCCTTTTTTACTTTCTCAATTTGTATTTGAAATTTTATTAAGAAAATTTAAATTGAATTTGTCGTAATTGTGATGCTTTTTCTTATTGGAAAATAAAATCGGTATGTGATGCTAACGTAAAATCGCGCCCTGACTGTAATATTTTTTGAATATTTTGATTTCCTTATTCTTAATAATAATTAATGGAGTGAATTTGGTTTTTTTGTTTATTCCAGCTTGATTATCGCTACATAAATTACAAAACAAGACATCTGTATTTTTTTCTTCTGCAAAATCAATTTAACAAAACGCTGTACATGTGTGTAAAGTATTGGTACCACCTCTTAGGAAATCAAACCTTAATTCAATTCATTTTTTTTATAAAACTAATTATTTTTTGCAAAATGAATGAACAAGCTTCACACAGTACAATTTCTTGTCCATAAAGTATGAATTTTCTACAGTAATGGTACTTTATGCAATGTTTTTACGTTATTGGCGTTGCATTGATCATAGTTATATGCTCTTTTTATAGTACGGTATAGAAGTAAAACGCAATTTTAAATATATTAATATTGAATTTCTTTGTCATATTTATTTGCAGTCAACATAATTGGTGCTCTATAAAAACTCTGTTGTTAATATTCAAAGCCAGTATTTGTGAAAATGATAAAAAAATAGAATTTTTAATGTAATAATTATAAGGTGAAAGGGGGTATTTTTACGAATGGGGAATTATGAGGTTTTTATTTAATAAAACTTTTTAAATTTAAATATATCCAAGTTTTAAGCATATATTGACAATATTATATCTTTTTTTATTTGTGTTTATGTTTTTCTTTTATCCACCATAATACCCCCCTTTCACTTTATATAGCGTGATTTTTACTATGGTAGAATCAATTGGTCAGACCAATTATTTGTGACACTCATATTTCAAATAATTTTCAAAAACAAGCTATATTAAACAAAAGCAAAATTCGCAAGGACCTACAATACAGTCGCCGTATTATAATTCTGTATGTTTTAATTAATTTCTTTAAAAGCACATTACATTATAAATGCTCAGAAAACCTATCATTATAGATTCGATAAAGTCAAAAGTTGAGACGACTTTTAACTTTTCCGAATTTCAGTCTTTTGTTAGACTTCACTAGCATTTGTGATTGCATTTCGGTATTGTGCGAAAGAATTATCAGCACTCGTTCAAACATGCTAGCTATTAACGTTATCATATTTATAGTCCCATAGATAAGATATTACTGTTTTATATGCTCGCAACAAAGATATTTATACAGTATTTATGCAACAGTAAAAACTTGCGACATATCGTCAAAAAGAAAGCTTCTTTGAGAAGGTAGATGTATTAGCATTAGAGATAAACTATAAAATCAATGTATACATATTTGTAAAAATCCATTCACTTAAATATTTGATAATTATACGTATAGAGCAAAAGAATAAATAATAGTACTAATAAAAGAAAATTTCGTAAATACTCTAAATATTAAGAATAGTAAACAAAGAATAAACTTGTTCTTTCACCATCTTCAATGTGCTCGTTTACAAACGAATAAATCCGGATATCACATATTATCATATGCTTGCTCTTAGTTACGAAACTATTTCAGTTTTCGAACTTGCTTATCTCGTTTATAAAATAATTTGAGCTCGGTCACTGGTTGGAGTTCGGGAGTTGCTGCTACGAAAACTACGAGGATGGCAATAAGAAAGAGCACAAACGTTGTAGGTTTGGTCAAGGTCATATTTTTGTAGTGGAGTCGTCGACTTTCCAATAATGTTTTCGGAATCTTTGTGTGTTGACATTAACGTTAATCCAATAATTCAATACAAATTATTAATTCCAACATTAAATAATAAATTATTCTTACTTGTTGAAACAATTCTTTTGGTTGTCAATAATTAATATACTTTGAATCTAATTTTTAAAAATCATTCATAAATTGATATAAAAAAATATCCAAAAACTATCGTCTCCGATTGAAAAAACAGTTTATTGTCTTAACAAAAGAGGATATTTACAGTATACGAACGTACGTATAGCGGTAATATCTCAAATGACGATGTTCCACAAACACCCTTCTCGTTATCATTATATATACATGTATATACATGTATAACAGGAATATATGTATCACGATCAGTAATGAAATAACGTAATTCAAGAACAGGATTGGACTGATTTTTAAAATAGTGATCCTCAAATCTTTTCTTGCGAGTCGTTGAAGCAACTATGTTATCGTTATATTTTATGGAGGGAGTTAAGTTTTTATTCTTTATAGTGTTGTTAGTCGAAATTATATTGACTTAGCTGTTTTTTGAAACATTACTATTAAAAAGTAAAATAAATTTCGATTTAGACATTTAAGCAAAATAAATTTTGAAATTAACAAAAATACATACGTATCGATATCGATATTTAAGTAATTACATGTACATATACGTATATTGTAGTAAAGAATGCATTGAAAAAGTTATCACATCAAGTAACATAATTATCGTTATGCTTATCTCTGTTTTAATCAGTGTAGAAAATCATTGGAAACGTATCACGGACACTGCTCTATAACAACAACGGTCACTAAAAATCGCGGAACTTTTTCGTAGACACTGGAAGAAAAGCTTTATTGTAGCTGCAGAAAAAAATCATTGGTGACAAAGAGCTGATTAAATAGGTGATATTTACATTATTTATAACTGCTGTGAAAACGGAGGCAAGAGACGTGAGCCAACCCAGCGGGTATCATCTCGTAACTTAACGAGTGGGTGTCCGTCTTGCGTTCTAATTACGCTGAGAGTGTATAAGATGGCAAGGGCTCTCAGGTGTTGTGCACCGCCCTTTCATCATCCTTCTATGGTGCAAATCATCTATAGATGTTATGAACTCCTTAACTAGAAAGTTAATCCACAAATATGATAGAATATTTTTGTGTAGTTGAGGAGTTTATAATATTTAGAACATATATACAATAAACATCGAACATCTAACATCGAATTCGATGTAGACACATCGAATTTGATGTATACACATCGAATTTGATGTATACACATCGAACATCGAATTCGCTGTGTCTATATACATCGAATTCGCTGTGTCTATATACATCGAATTCGCTGTTAGATGTTCGATGTGTCTACATCGAATTCGAGTCTACATCAAATTTGATATTAGATATTCGATGTGTATACATCGAATTCGATGTTAGATGTTCGATGTGTATACATCGAATTCGATGTTCGATGTGTCTACCGAACGAATTCGCTGTGTCTACATCGAATTCGATGTTCGATGTGTATACATCAAATTCGATGTGTCTACACCGAATTCGATGTGTCTATATCGAATTCGATGTTCGATGTTCAATGTGTATACATCGAATTCGATGTGTCTACACCGAATTCGCTGTGTCTACATCGAATTCGATGTTCGATGTTCAATGTGTATACATCGAATTCGATGTGTCTACACCGAATTCGATGTGTCTACACCGAATTCGCTGTGTCTACATCGAATTCAATGTTCGATGTTCGATGTGTATACATCGAATTTGATGTGTATATATCAAATTCGATGTGTCTACACCGAATTCGATGTGTCTATATCGAATTCGCTGTGTCTACATCGAATTCGATGTTCGATGTTTGATGTGTATACATCGAATTCGATGTTCGATGTTCGATGTGTCTATATCGAATTCGATGTTAGATGTTTGATGTGTATACATCGAATTCGCTGTGTCTACATCATCTTTTGAAATAATAACTGATCACAACGCATTATGATGGCTCTTTACTAAACAGGCAAACCCAACACCAAGAATTTCCTGATGGATTAGAATGATGATGGAATATAATTTCATGATTAGTTATTGACCTGGACAAATAAATCAAAATGCTGATGCTCTATCTTGAATAAACTCTGTTGACCATTAAAAATATCTAATTAACCAACTACAAAAATGGATTTGACAACTTATTACAACCTACTTTAATTTTTGAATAACAGAACCCACAATACAACTCTTACTGAACAACAAAAGAAACAACTTCAACAACAATCTAAACATTTTGCCATACAAAATGGTCTACTTTATAAAATCAACTAATGAAAAGATACTTTTAAATACTAAAAAAACAGAAATAGAAGCAGTAATGAAAGAAATGCAAGAAGATCTATTATCCAGACACTTTGAATATAATAGAACTTACCAATAAATAGCTATATAATATTGATGAAATGGAATGAGAACTGATATAAAAAATTTTGTAAAATTTTGCTCAACATATCAATTTACTGAAAGTCAACAATTCAAAGAACTCTTACATCCTATTAAAGTTGGATAACCATTTGATCATATCATAATTGATCTAATTGGACCATGCAAACAAACTCAACAAGAAAATTGATATATTGTTACTGCAATAAATTACTTAACGAAATGACCTGAAGCAAAATGATATTCAACAAAGAGATTATTACAGTTGCAAAATTTATTTCTGAAAAAATTATCTATTAATATAGATATCCAAAAATATTTCAATCAGATCAAGAAACAGAATTTACAGCACAGATAATAGAAGAACTCACTGATAAATTTAGAATATAATACAAATACTTATTATCATATCATTCACAAATGAAATTGTAAAATGATTCAATAAAACTTTATTAACAACATTACAAAAACTCACTATTAGTCTAGAAGAAGAATGAGACAATCATATTCCTGCAGCATTATTTGTTTATAGAATATTACAAAATAATACTATAAGACACGAACCATTTTTTTTAACATATGAAAAAAAAGCAAGATTACCAATAGAATTATAATTTGAAATAACACTTGAAAAAGAAGTTAAAATTGAAGAATAACTATTAGATAAATATTTACATTTATTAATTATTTATCTAAACAGATCAATAATACCAAATGAAATATAAATTTCTTACAAGAAAAATTCAAAGAATGACATGATAGAAAAATACAAAAGATAGAAAAGTTTGAAATTGGAGACAAAGTTCTAATTTATAATATGAAATAACATATTGAACACAAAAATAAATTCAAATCACAATGAAAAGAAGAATAGTACTATATTTATAAGACCTATCAGAATGAAGCATATAAATTATGAAATCAACAAGAACAATTACTCAAGAAAATATTTAATAATATACAATTAAAATTATACTATGAGAAACAAACTTTATTTGAACTCAAAGTAGTAATAAAATTAATTAATTCATTATAAATTCTTTCTTAAGTAAAATTCTTTTAAATTATGTTGTAACACATTTAATTGATCCATTTATTTTCTTTCAAAGTTTTCAACAATTTGTTATATTATTTTAAATTTCATTTTTTAAGTTTTTTTTTGAAAAATTTTCTTTGCTAATCATTTCTCTTTTTAGATTAATGTATATATATTATTATGTCTCAACAACCAAATTGAATTGATGATACCATGCGATCATTACTTATTCAACTTATAGCTCATTTATTTATTAATTAACAACAAGAAAGCATCTTTATCTTAGAAACAGGTATAATTTTATATGATAATTTTGAATAAACTTATCCAATTTCTCTGATAAAATTAATCTCTAACTTGACTGAAGATTATAATCTCTTTGTGAATCCACCAGCTGTAAGCTTGAATATTATATCTAAAATAGACTTATTACAAACTATAGAAAAAATTGAATTAGTTTCATTTTGAATATGAATTTGATAACAAATTTAATTTATCAAGAAGAGGATATCATAAGTTCTTCAACTGAAGATAAATAACCAATATAATTAAAAGAACAACTCAAAAAGACTTTAAGAAGACAAATAAATAATAGTGAAATATTGAAACAATATCTTAAAATCAAATAATTATTAGTTAATGTTCCAGTATAACATCAAAAATAATTATCAGCAATCAAAAGGAAGATAATAGAGAACTTAGACTCCAATTTTATAACTATTACTATATGATTGCTAAAAGAATTTAACAAATATTTTCTTCTGAAAAAGAAATAGATCAAAAGAATTTTGACTTAAAATTAATATCAATGAAAATATATCAAATGAAAAATCAAAAAATCAAGAATTTTATACTGGAGCTCAATCTTTTCAAAGAGAATACAAATATTATAATTATGTTATAAAAATCATTAATTTTATAATTTGTAATATTTTATGAAATTATGAAAATTATGTAAAGAACTTAGAATATTTCACAATTTTATTATATATTACTAATTATTATATTTGTATATTTTTATTTTTCTATTTTGTACTCTTATATTTTTTATACTTTTTATACTTTTATATTTATACTTTTTATATTTTTATATTTATACTTTTTATATTTATACTTTTTATACTTTTTATACTTTATATATTTATATTTTTATATTTTTATACTTATTTATTCTGAATAAATATAACTTAACCAATCAAAACTCTTTAAGATTTATACTTTTTCTTCTTTATTTTTCTACTTTTCATATTTAGTAAATTGAAATTTTATTTTTAATTAGTATAATTATCTTTTATATTTTTTTCCTGTTTAATATTTATATTTCATAAAAAATATATAAATATGAGTTATATATTGGAAATTTAAAATATTAGCAGAATTGTAGTAAACTTTGAACCTAGTGACAAAAGATGAAGAAAAAATATTCAGTTTAAAGAAATGCAAATATTTCCACATGCAGTGGACCAAATTGAATGAATTTGGTACCATTAGAAAGGTCTAGTCAAGACGCATCTAATGGTATCAAAATCATTGAATTTGATT